GTTTTATATATATATATATATAGAGAGAGAGATTGATTACAAGTCTATATATATATATATATAAAACTATCTTTCCGAACAAGTCACTAGTTAGGCCTCACGTGGCATGCTGTGTACAGTTCTTATCTAAGAAAGGATACTGATTTATTGGAAAGGGTTCAAAAGGGATGAAAGGGTTATCTTATGGAGATACTGTACATTAAAGTCTCAACTTATTTTCTATTGATAAAGAATGGTAATAGGAGATATTATTGTAGTTTACAAAATAATTATAGAGATCAAAAGGATAAAACAGGAAGAGCTTTCTGGTTAGTGGGTGACAATTTTGAGTTTAGCACCACCCGATAGAGACACCCAAAGGCTCACCTTTATAGTGCATTGGTAATATGGTAAAACTTCAATATATGAAGTTCGTATTATAGATCAGATGTAAAATTCGATGATTGTATTAAAATTATGTAAAATATCATGATTGCCACTCCAAGTCACACTAAAAATGAATTTGCATTAAAATAAGTAGCTAGATATTACAGAAAGAAGTACAATGCAGCAAGTTATGTCATGATCCAAGTATGTGTTAAAGAGAAGTAATAAATGAAGCCTTGAGAAATACATTTGACTTCTTTTCCTTTTGTAACACATCCCACTATTTTAATTATATAACATTTTTTTAACAAGTGAAGTGTACTTTAAGAAAAGTGCTACAGACAGCATAATGCACTTTCATATACATGCATAATATAATCAGATGGAATATTTTAGAAAACGAAACCAGCCATTTTTCAATCCTAGCCAGTTTACCTTATTTGACTGATATTTCTTATACCACTGTAAAAATTGTGTCAATATGTTTCTTTAAAATTGTTCCAAATCGAAATCATGTGATGAAAAGTTTGAAATAATTGATAGAGGAAAAGACTGAAAAGGCAAGAGTTTACTAAATGTGTTACAGCATTTTTCAGCTTAATTAAACAAATTTCAAGCAGTTGGTTAGTTTGCAGGCCTTTATGAATGTGTTAGTTTAGTGTAACACAAATCTTTTTAAATGTAGTGGTACTGTGCTAGAATGATTTTTCTTTTAAATAGGTTGGTTGTAATTAAAAGGTAATCGGTATGCAAAGAGATTAAAGCAGTAAGTTGCATTTGAATTACCCTAATTTTGAATAATAGAACCATATCAAGCCAGAGTTGATATAACATTGGTTTTAATCTGCAATATTTAGGATAGATTTCAATCTTTTTTTTACTATACTGTTAATAAAAAAATAAATTCAAATACTATAAGGTTAGTTGATATTTTTAATGTATGAAAAATTATTGTACCAGTTTCATAAATAGTAAAGCAGAAGGTGGTTTTAGGAAGATAATCTACTAATTGGTAATATAGGTGATCCATTTCATTTAAAACAGTACTATATATGTTTGCTTTATTTTATATACATATTTTCAGTTTCCTTTTAAATTTGATATCTTTAACCACACTTTAATTAAGTTAGCTTTTCAATAAAATGAATAACTATTACTAAATCATATATTTAATAAATCCACAGTTTTCCTGGACACTTATGTTTTTCTCCATCTTCCAGAATGGAAATTAACTTTGAAAATTTTCAGTTTTTCCAGGACATTTGGTAACCCCGTTACAAGCTAATCTAAAACAGATTTATTCATTCAACAGCAGTTCAATACTGTATTTGATTTTAACTTCTGAAATAGTTATGGTGATGTGGTGTGTAACTGTAATGTTATTTTGAATCTACACTTCATTATATTTTGGATATATGCATGGATTTGGAAAGTACACTTAGAATGAATTTGAACTTTTATCTGTTTACACGAATAAGAGATAACCTCTACAAAGAACTTAAAAGTTACATATTTGCAGTTAAACTGGAAAAAAAAAGTTGCTGCAAGAAAAACACCAAGTTGATTCTCAAACAGTATAAGCAATAACATAAATAGAAAAGTATTACAAATGCAAGAAGTTTAAATTGACTGCTATGATAAGAGACACAGAGGATTCTAGATGATAGAGTTGGTAAAACAGGACATTAGGCAATCAAAAATAGAATATGAATATGACTGTGAATGTAAAAATAACAATTAAGGATTTTTAAACGTACTAGCGATAAGCTAAGAGTTAGGATGGCAGCAGGGCCTTTAAAAGATAATAACCTATTTCTGATGGTAATGAGATGCCTTGGTTACTTAATTTAACTCAATTTTCAGATTTTACAAATGAAAATTATTCTTTATTCTGATCAATTGTTACAGGGAAGAATGATTGATGAATAACATAATAAAATTAATTCTGAGCTCCTTAAGAAAAAATAAAAGTTTAAAAGATGACAAGACTCCTAGACCAGATGATACTTCCTCAAAACATTTTGAAGAAGGTTAAGAGTTGGAAAGGAACATCACTTGTAGATATTTTAAGTCTTTGAGTAGGGGTCATGTGACAGAGGATTGGAAGTTGGCTAGTGTTACTTCTACTTCTAAGAGAGGTGATAAAATTATACAGATGGAATATAAGCCCATCAGTCTTAAATCTGAGGTAGGAAACATTTTTTAAAGTCTGGTATAAGGTAATTTGCAAAGTCATTTAACAGAGGGAAAGTTTGCTGGACAGTCAACTTTATATTACTAGCAAAAACTATTGCCTTACTAATATTTTAATATTCTTTGAAGAGGTTTTGGGTTTATTTATTAATTTCTTTAAATTATACCAATATTCACAACATTTACAAGGTTTCACGGCAATGCCCTTCATGGCCCCCTTGCACCTCTGAAGAGGCTACTGCTTATGTTAATGAGGATAAAGATGTAGAGTTAGATTTTCAGAAAGCATTTGAAAAGGTGCCATGCACATAAAAAGACTTGCTAAATATATTATCTACATGGGTGTGGGATAACATAACATTTTGGGATAACATGGGACCTATTGGTCCATATCAGCTATTCCATCCTCTAAACTAAATTAAAATAATGAAACAAAAATCTTAAGCCAGCCCTTTTTATTCATATACTTATCACGCTTTTTTTAAACTCACTTAAATCTACTGCCTCTACAACATCTGAAGGCAACCTATTCCAAAGGCCAACCACCCCGTTAGAAAAATAAAACTGTCTTAGCTGAAGATGACTCCTACCTTGCCAACATTTATATTTGTGTCCCTAGTCCTACTATTCCCACTGTTAAATATGAAAAAAAAATGATGCATCAACACTATCAATTCCCTTTACAATTTTAAACATCTCAATCAGATCCCCCCCCCCCCAACTCTTCTTTTTTCAAGAGAAAACAATTTGAGAGATTTCAGCCTATTCATGTATGACAACCCCCTCCATCCCAGGCACCATTCTAATAACCCTTCTCTGAACCCTTTCCAACAATTCAATATTTTTCCTAAAGTAAGGAGCCCAAGACTGAACACAATATTCCAAATGTGGCTTAACCAGTGAAAAGTATGCTCATTGGATTAAAATGGCTGGAAGTGGAAGGAAGAAAGGAGAGGGTTGTTGTAAATGGAGTCCAGTCAAACTTAATTAATGTTACAAGTGGAGTATCTCAAAGCTCAGTGTTGTAACCTTTGCTCTTTTCCATTTGCATCAATTACACAGATAAAGAAATGGCCAAAATATTACTTACATTTGTTGAAGATATAATCTTGAGTTTTGCTGGCTATGAGGAGAATGCTACTGCTTTATGAAAGGATTTTGATCAATTAATAAGTTGGGCAAATAACTAGCAGATTTGAAATTATAAGTTTGATGGGAATAACCTTACCAGTGCTATGGATGAAAAGAATCTTGGAGATTTGACTGATCAGTCTATTACACAATTTCAACAGTGCACTAGCTGTTTCATGGTGAAAGAGCAAACAGAAGTTTGGTCTGTATTTACAGAAATATTGAATACAAGTCAAATAAGGCTATCATTTCATCTTACAGATCACTGGTTAGACCTTATTTGAAATAGTGTGTTCAGTCTTGGACTAATTACCTTAACAACATCACTTGTTGAAGATATAATCTTGAGTTTTGCTGGCTATGAGGAATATTTTAGGGAATAGTTTAAGGGAAGGCTCAATAAATACTTAAATGATGAGGGCTTTTTTTTTATATATTGGATGCTAAGGTAAGCATAATCCACCAAAGGCACACAATTGGTGTTATCATGTTCTTATCTATTATATTTTGATCATTTATATAATTAGCCCTTGAGCCACCTGCACCTATTAATTGCTTTTACACTATTAACATGTTCATTTCTGGAATTAGATGTCATGTTGACAGGAGAATGGCAGATCCACTAGTATATGAAATTAAGCATGCACAGTATACATTTAAGTATTGTGCACACAAATATATTCTTGTTTCAAAATAGTGAGAAATGAAGTTTCATAATTATGTACAAAGTTATACAATTTAATTTTATTGAAAACCAAACTGTAATCTTAGTCAATGTTGAGTTTTAAGTGCCTAAAATGCTGCTGTAACAAACTGTATAGAGTTATATGTATGCGTGCCATTTCTGGATGTAGCAAACACCCCTTGCCGTCCTTAAAAGTTATGTTAAAACCAAAAGCTCTCAGTACCATTCCAAGTCATCAAAATAAATATGAATACAATTTACTCACAATATTAGGAAAACTCACAAATACAAAAAATTAACAAAAAAATACATAAAACTCTATAACCTGAGCATTTTTGAAAGGTGGTCCTTTCTTCTCATGGGTTCCTAGTTTGCCCCTTATTAAGAAAACAATTTAATATCTCTCTGGTGACTTAGGTTACTTGTGATTTCTGAAAATTAAGCTGTGAAAATAAAATATAAGCACTTAGAACTTATTGTGATGTTTCTGAACAAACTTATCACTCAAAACGAGTGAAAACAAAGAATGTTACATGTCAACCACACTTTATCTGCCATATCCAGTGTAAAGCTTAAGTTAAAAACAATTTCAATTTTAAGGCCCAAAGCGTCAACTGTAACACTATTTCAACTAGAGTACTCGTAATGTTTTATACACATAATTATAATATAATCTTAACATGATCTTAAAGTGTTTTTTGTTCTCTTTTCGTGATCGAGCAAACAAAACAATTCACAGAAATATTCAAATCGTAGTGGTACTACTAATTAATTAATACTAGGCCTACAGTAAATCGACCAACAACAATTTATAAATATAAGCACAATTAAAATTATTCTATGTAGTATATTCTCTAGATAAAATAAGTTTCATTATCATTAGAATATTCGTTGTTGGGTTTATGTTTATATATAACACAGAACATTAAATTCACTATGACAATGATTATCATATTTTTAACGATATTACTTATTACACTTACACGTTAGTTTAAAAGTAAAACTGTTGTTGTTAGTTATGTACCGAAAGTAAGGCTTAACTGTAACTGGTGCATCATAATTCGTATCGTTTGTCGTTGGCGTAGCCTTAATTACACTTATTTTATTTTTTTCAGAATTGATAAGTTAACTTTAATTAAATATACTATAACGAACTTCATAATTTTAGTTTTACTGTTATACCTATACTATAACTACTACTACTAGTATTAGTAATACTAATAGTACTTAGTTGCTGAGCTTACTCAGTTACTGATGCATTAATTAATTTAATAATAACCAAGATTCCTTTCTTTGATGTTTATTTGCAATGATGAAAATAAAATTGTTGACAGTTTAAGACTGAATTGCTTATTAATATTATAGCCTCGCACGCGTATAGTAATATAGACCTACACATAGGTAAAAACTACACTACATTACATAGTAAGGCAAGTATTACACGTCAACTTCCCGCACATATACCGCTATCTTTCCGCTAATATAAACAAAAGCCGTGTTAATACAGGGAATGCTGGGAAGCCATCCTCTAAAGCTCATTGAATAAGAACTACGCGTCCTCACGAAGGTTGCTC